CTGAACAACAAACCAGGAAGTTAGCTTCTCTCACAGCAGCTAAGGCTACGCTAACGGCTAGCGGCTATGTCTGAACAAACAAACCAGGAAGCTAGCTTCTCTCACAGCAGCTAAGGCTACGCTAATGGCTAGCGGCTGAGTTAGCAGGCAGCCACAGATTAACCTGGAACAGAGTCTGGAAAACAATAATGAAAACAGCTTTAACATGTTTCTGTACTTGACTTCTCCCGTTGCATTGTGGGATGCTGAAGGCCGTAACTACTGTAGTTAAGGCTCAGACAGAACAACACCAACGAGGTGAACTCCCTGCACAGCTCACACTGATTTCTGTGGTCGTCTGAATCTCATTTGCATAAATTTGAAATCTCAACTTTATGCAAACCGAGTGCGTCCGGCCACCGAAATGCCCGCAAACCTTCTGGAGAACCGTCACTGACACAAAGTGAAGCAGCTCCAGTAGGTGGCGCTGCCTCGGCCTCCAGCTCTGCTGAGACCAACCAGAACACGTCCTTTAACTCACATCGGTCTGTCGGACTTCCTTCACTACGAGACATCGTCACAATCAGGAGCATCCCGTCTCAGACTGATGCTGAAACCTGGTCCAGGCGTCTGGAGCTTCCAGGCCGGACTGTTGTCTCCTGATTATCAGGACGTCCTGATATAATCCTCCAGAACTAAACGCTGCACGTTGAAACCCAGTGATTTGATCTATCTGGGCTGTTTCAAACAAGCAGTGTTTTCTGTGAAAAGCCAAACTCCTGACTGTGGAGGTTCATATTGAGCTGCAGTCAGAACGTCTTTATGGCTTCATCACTTCTCTGCTCGTTAACATCAGGTTACAGAACAGAGTCAGCTTTAGGTAACTAAAGAGGCTGCAATGTTATGGAAAATACTAATGATCTGACTAATTTAAACATCAAATCTGAGGTCCTACAATACTGTATAAACTACTAATTATCTGACTCATTTTAATTAAATCTAAGACCCTACAATGTCATAAAAACATAAATTCTGACATAAATATGACAGAACCTCCAGTATTCTGAGCAGCATGGAGACTATAACAGGCCTGTAGAACAATCTGAGCTTTAACTTGACTCATTAGTTGTGATGTAAACATAAATAAACGTTGCTGCGTATCGTCCTGTCAACAAACCGCTCCAACAGAACCACCAGTGCAGCCTGTTATCTCCCATCACTGAAGGCTTCCTCCATCAGAGATAAGGCCTCGCTGTGTAATGAAGACAATCCAGTGCTCAGCAGCAGGGTTGACTCGTCAGCTGACTGCCCCGTAAAGATCCTCATAAAAAGCCCTGATAACAGAGACACCTGTCACAGGTGCAGCTCCGCCCCCACGCCGGTCTGACGCCACTTTTCATGGCGATAAAAACCGAAGGGAGCAGCTACAGGAACAGGGTGTTTGCTTACGGTGGATGAAGGTGGATGAAGGTGGAGCTGGGAGGACGGAGTACGAACCTGTCAGGATGGTCTGGAAGGCCGTCTCCACGTTGGTGGAGTCCAGAGCCGACGTCTCCAGGAAAGATAAACCGTTCTTCTCTGCAGGGGGAGAGGTCAGCAGTCAGATACGAAGCATTCCACAGATAGCGAGCCAGTCGGACCCGTTACACAGAAACATGTGAAACCAACTGAGACAGACACCAGACCAGAGGAATCAGCAGACCACCAGGCAGATAACCCTCCTCTGCTCAGAGCACAGCTTCAAGCTGCTGGATTGGTTTCAATGTTTTGAGGAGAAAATCTGATCTAGATTTCTGTGTTTCCATCTTCATTGGGCTCTGATTGTAGTTCTGATGGGAGCCTGTTGTTATCGCTCCTGTCTCACCCAGAGAAGAACATGGATTCACTACAGGCCAGCCCATAGTTTATAACGTCTGCAGGGGAACATTTCTACAACTCTAACGTAAATCTATGGAGGTCAGACGGTCGAGTTGCCCCTCATGTTTGACTATGCTGTGATTCTTCCTGATCAGTGGGCCAACAGGGTATCTGGAAAATTCACGTTTTCCACGTCTGTAAACGGTGAACGCCCGGAAATCTGGTCACCCACCAGGGTCCATGTGGACTCGTGACACGTTTAGTACGAGGAAAAACCAAACAAGACAATTCTCTATGGAGCAGTGAGAGCGCCAAATTACAAAAATAAATCAATAAAAGAATAATAAAATAAAAGCGGAAATAAAAAGAATAATAAATAAAATAAGAAATAATGTGGCAATATGAAGCAATGTAAAGAAAAGTCTGATAAAAGTAGAAATATAAAGACAAATAAATAAAACAATAAAAGACATTTCTATTCATTTATTTATTTTTACATTTTTTAAAATGATTTTTTAAAATAATTTTTTCATTTTTATGAAAAAAAACAAATATGTGCACAAAAATGTGAATGTCATTTTTCTGCACATATTTCCTTTGCTTTTAAAACATTATTTTAAAAAAAACATTTAAAAATAATAAAAAATGCATTTTAAAAAACAATTTAAAAAATAATAAATAAATTTAAAAAATAAAAAAATTATTATGTATATTATTTTATTTATTTGTGTTTATATTTCTACTTCTATCAGCCTTTTCTTTTATGGATTCATTTTTGATTAGCATTGCTTTATATTGCCACATTATTTATTTTATTTATTCTTCTTTTCATTTCCATGTTTACGTTACTTTTTTTTATTCATGTATTTGTAATCTCACTGCTCCATATTTCTCCGTCACCTCCCCGTTACGTTTCATCACTAACACCGGTGTAACAGAAGCGGTGGCTGAAGGACTCTGGAGGGCTTCCATGTGTTCGTGCTCTCTGTTTACGGAGCTCTAACAGCTGGAGGCGTTAAAATCTCCAGATGTTCTGTCCACCCACTGCTCGACACACCTCAGGAATAATCACATCAGTTTATAATTCATAGTGGTTATCGAAGTAGAAGCAGCAGGACTTCAGTTGGGCTTTGATTTGTTCAGCTCAGTTCTAAAATCTCCAGATGCCCACTGTGCTCGACACACCTCCGTAACAACCGCACCAACACGGGGCTGCGGTTTGATCTGAAACCAGCTGCTAGCATGAACTGGCTCAAAGGCGTTCCTGGTTAACTGCAGGTTAAAACAATGAGTCTCACCAGCGAAGGCCCGGGCCTCGTCGGTGGGGACGGCCCGGAGGTGGCGCAGGTCGCTCTTGTTGCCCACCAGCATGATGACGATGTTGCTGTCGGCGTGGTCTCTCAGCTCCTTCAGCCAGCGCTCCACGTTCTCGTAGGTTAGATGCTTGGCGATGTCGTAGACCAGCAGGGCTCCCACCGCCCCGCGGTAGTACCTGCAGCAGAGCCACCAGAACCAGAGCCTTAGAAGCAGCACAACAACACCAGGACCGGACAGAACATCTCGGCTAGTCTGTCGCTCCAGCTGAGATTTTAGTGTCCAGCAGCAGGAACACAGAGATGGACGTGAGTTTAGTGTTTGTATTCCTGCTCTGGGACCTGGTGTCTGCTCAGTAACGTCTGATGATCTCTGGGATCACAGAAAACACGCAGCTCAGCATATTAACCACTGGAGCTGCAGCAATTAATCAATTTAGTGATCAGCTATTTATTTAATTTTCAAAACCGATGAATCTGTCATTTTTTAAAAGATAAAAATCAAAAAGTTTGTTCTCTGGTTCCAGTTTTTATATTTTCTGGTGGCTTTACTGTCCTTAGAGGACATATTATGAAAGAATAAATGTGATTATATCTGATTTCTGGGGAAAACATGAAGGCTTGATCATAAAAATCATATTAATGTGACAGTTAACTGAAAACACGACTTTGTTTTCTTTGGATTTGGGAAAAACAAACAAACAACTAACGGTAATTAGCTGCATCCCTGATCAATAAATGTAGGGAAAAGCTAACGAAGAGGTGATGTGTGCTTTAAACAGCCTGAGAGGTGATTAAACCGTCAGAGGCCTGAACACGGACCTTAGAAACACTCGTCTCCGTGATTTCAAACACAATCAGGCATCAAACTGACTCTAAACCTGCGGTGAGCCACGTTTATAATTATTGATAACGAATCAGATGACCGGCTGTAACGTTAAACCCTCCGAGTGGCCACACAGCTGCTCGGTCAGACTCTGGTTCTGCTCGTCGCGGTGGACTCACGCCGACGTGATGGCCCGGTAGCGCTCCTGGCCGGCCGTGTCCCAGATCTGAGCCTTCACCGTCTTGCCGTCCACCTGGATGCTGCGCGTGGCGAACTCCACTCCGATGGTGCTCTTGCTCTCCAGGTTGAACTCGTTGCGGGTGAAGCGGGACAGCAGGTTACTCTTTCCCACCCCCGAGTCTCCGATGAGGACCACTGAGGCACAGAACGGACAGGAACACAGTTTAGCGCCACCGCTAGCAGCTGTCTGAGGTTTTATTAAGCTGCATGCTATCAAACTACAACACCAACACATTTAAAGCTGTTAATTATGAATATTTTATATATTAAAATGACAAAAAATAAAAGAAATTTAACAGTAATTGTGACATAAAGTGGAAAAGTTAACTTTTTGTGCCTCACTGACTTTCTCAGACTCTGACGTATTATCTCTGGATGAACTATTTGTTTTCTAAAATGTCAGAAAATGGTGAAAAATCTCAGCGCTTCCCAAACCAGATGTATTTTACTGTCATAGAGAAGAAATATTCACATTTAACAAGCTGCAATCAGAGAAATTAGACAAAAAACACTCTGTAGCTGTAGAACAACTCCACAAACCAGCATTTAAATCAGCTTTTTCAGTTTAGAGCCAATTTAAATCAGAACGAAACATAATGAAACCTGTCAGTGAAGCTTTAAAAGATTAATTGCTGCAGATGTTTGGTGAGAAATGAGGATCAGTGTTTCCTCAAAGGTCTCGTTTTGTCCACAAATACTCATTTTACTGTCACAGAGGAGGAAAGAAACCAGAAGATGTTCAAATTTAAGAAGCTGAAACAGTTGACAAGTGATGGATTAACTATTGCAGCCCTACTGCAAACTACTCACAGTGTCTGTCCTACAAACAGCTTGTACACTTATTTCTATATTTATAGTCTTTATTTAAGGATGCAGCTCATAGTTATTATCAGCTGATGGTTTTCTCTTCAAACTGCCAAAAAATTAGTGAGAAATTCTCACTATGATCAGACAAATCTACAAATATCTGGTCCAGAAGTATTCAGTTCACTACGATGTGCAGCAAAGACGGCATCAAATCTCACAGGAAGAATAAATACACTATTTTCAGACAATTTATTGGTTTATATTTCGCTATTTAATCGTATTTGTAAGTTGATTTGATGAACTTTACTGCCTTTAGGCTGCGTGTGAATAAAGGTGATTATTAGTAGCTGTCTGGAATCACACAGACACATGACAGCATATTAAACACTAGATTTAAAACAATTAATTTAGTAGATATCGACTATAAAATTAATTTTGAACTATTTTCATATCAGTATTTTTTAGAGGAAAAAAAACCTCAAAATTCTGAGCTCAGTTTTTTTTTTTTTTTTAAACCTGGTGTCTTTACTACTAACAAATATGACAGCAAACTGAATATTTCTGGCCAAAAAATTTGTCATCTGTTATTTTAGAGACCAAACAACTGATCGATTGATGCAGGAAAGTCATTCACACATCGATCCACAGCAGCTCCATCAAACCCTGAGCTGTACATATTTAAAGCATCAGTACTTTTAGCGAGCTAATGAATAACTGTATTGATGTTTCTGTGATATTTCTGCTGATCCAGATGTGGGTCGAACAGCTGTGTCTCCTCTGTTTACTTCAGCTGGACGTTTCTTTGCTCTTTTTGTTGACCGGCAGCAGCTTCAGTGCAGTTATTAATTAAACGGGCTAACGGTTAGCTTAGCCCGCTAGCTCCGTGAACGGAAGCGTTAAGGTTTTCCGTGCGTGCCTCTGCTCGGTAATGATCCGGTTCGCGGCTCTGGATGGATCTCATGAAGATAATGTGATAACGGTTAGGTGTGTCCGCGCCCACTGACAGCAAGCTAGCGGCGGCTAACTGCTAACGCTAGCCAAGACGTCCTGTCGGTTAACGATTAACTAGTCTGACGTGGTGACTTAACCAGCGCTTCCACATCTGTGGGTTAGAGAAGACTCGTTTGAAGCGACCTGCTCTAGTTAAACCCGCTGACATCCGGCAGAAAGCTCGGCGAGCAGCAGCCGGAGCACAAAGGCTGACGGGGGCTAGCTGAGCCTGACAGTTGATCAGCTGGCCTGGTTAGCATGTCGGCTAACAGCACAGCGACAGCAAGAACCATGAAAGCGCTGATTTACCTTTGAACAAATAATCGTATTCGTCATCTCTAGTGCCCATCGTCTTGTTAAGAAACGGTCAGTCCGAGATTTAACCTTATTTTTTAGTGAAAAGACGGCGGTCTGCTGTGTTTTACTCCTCCAACGGGAATATGTTTGGAAGCCGTACTTCCGTAGTTCTTCTTCTTCTTCGGTGGAATGAGGGCAGACGGAGCGAGCTGCGCCCTCCAGTGGACACAAGAAGAGGAAACTGAAAGGTGAACTTCACACAGCAGCGGCTCAGAAAGTATAAAGTGATAGACATGACATAAAAATGATGTAAGACAAAATAGAATAAATATAAAAAATGAAAAACAATACAGATACTAAACACTGTGTCACATGAATGAATGAATGAATGAATGAAAAATACTTTATTCATCCCAGAAGGGAAATTCAATATTCATAAAAAAAAAAATCATAAAACATATGACATAATGAATAATTGTGAGATGAACATTGTGTGTAGATTTACCCTTAAGGTGTAAAAAGCAGAGAAATATAATTACACAACTACACACATTGGATAGTTAGACAGTATGAAGGCAATCAGTGTTGCGCTGGATAGTTTCACACTATAAGTATAATATAAGTGAGAATATATAATAAACATGAAATGTTGCTGTTTAAATATTAAATATAGAAACGAGGTGTTACCTCATAAAATATGTCCTAATTTGCATCAGTGTCCAAAAGACAAAATATAATAACAATAAACACCTAAATGTGTATTTGTGGACGTTTCCTTTCGCACTCGTCTGAAAGAAGACGTGAATACACTGCTTGTAGTGTTTAAGTCATATTTATTTATAAAGCACATTCAGAAACAGCAGGTTATAAAACACAATAACTAACAAAAAAATAGAATAAAACAATTAGAATAAAGGACACGTCACAGGAAGAGATGGAGTTACAGCATTAAGTTCTATTTGGATCAGACGCTAAAGAGAAGAAGTTTGTCTTCAGCAGCAAAAGTTTCTAAAGTCTCAGCAGATCATTTTCCGGAGCAGCTAGTGCAGAGGCTCCATCACTAAAGATGGTTTCACAGCTTCCCTCAAAGCCTTTGAAACAAACTACAAGATGACATTTAGTTTTTTCAGTCTTTGGGCCAGAGATGTGGCTTCACATCTCAAAGAAGTTGAGCAGGCAGCTTTTATGTATATAGAAGAAGAACAGGAGGCCCAGGACGCTGCCCTGAGGAACTCCATGCATTTATTTCTTCTTGTAATCAGGAAGAAATTTTTTCCATTTCATATTCTGCAAACAGAAAACAAGAGAAGACATTAAAACCATGATTTCTGCTTTCAGTAATACCAGAAACACCAGCTGTTCTTACGTTTTTGCCCAACGACTTCTTGGTCTTCAGGTCCTCCAGAGACTCGTAGGTGTTGCCCTGGACGGCGGCGGCGGCGGCGGCGGCGGTGGCGGCGGCAGCGGCGGCGGCGGCGGTGGCTTCTCCTGGGATCAGCTCGTAGGTGTTGTCCGGAGGCCCAGTGGACCCCTGGGGAACCTCGGCGTACATGCCTTCACCCTGGGAGGCAGAACCTCCTCTGGGCCCGTCGGAGGACTGGTACAGCGGGTTGAACCTCTCCAGATCAGCACTGGGCATCTCGAGCTTCGGTCTCAGAGCTTCATCGAGCGAGAAGGTGAGGCAGGTGACCCTCTTCGGCATGAAGGAGGAGCTGCTGAGCCGGTTAGAGTACTCTTCCTCCTCCTCCTCTTCTTCCTCCATGTGGTCCAGTTGGGGCAAAGACAGACTCCTGGTCTCCACCTGAGTCGGCTCAGAACAGGTGAGTCCGGCCGGGCAGAGATCACCTGGGAAGGTTGAGTCGTTGGAGTCCGATGGCGGCTTCGGGTTTCCTCTGAGTCTCTCTGAACGACTGGAGTCGGTTTCGTTCGGATGAGTCGTCTCAGGTAAAGATCCACTCAGGGATCTCAGAGGAAGACCTCGTTTAGGCACCGGAGGAAGTCCCTAAAAAACAAAACCATCAGAATAAAGCTAGAAAATATCTGAAGACATTCTGAGTAAGCCAAGGCAGCTTGTTCTGTCCATGACGTCCTGCTATCATTATACATAAGGTATAATCTATAGAAGTACATTTTATTTTGAAAAGCCCTCTGTTTCACAAACCCTGATCAGACCCTTTTAACATCTTTGAGCTTTTGCTTTGAAAGTGTATCAATCAGCCAATCAGCTGTGAGTTACTGGCTGGTTGCAGCGAGCAGAGCAGGCGGACGAAGGATTAGACCCTAAAACAACCGTCACAACTCAGAAACAATAAGTCGTGTTGAAAAAGTTCTTCCAGCGCGTGAAGCTCAATCGTCTTATGAACGTTCTGACATATCTTCATGTCCGTTCTGTGTTTTATGCAGATTTGGTGGCAGGTTAGAGAGACTCATCATTTCTGATTTTCACCAACATCTTAGAGCTCCGATAAAACGGGAGTCAATGAGAGTTTTGCTCGAAACTCTGAGTTCTGCAGTGATTTATGAAAAACTATAAATCCTACAGCAATGAGACTCACGCTGGGTGGAAGAGGACAAAACTACTGACATTTATATCTATAAATTGTTCATGTGGAGGAGAAACTGTGAGAAGGAGGTGAATGTAAACTGAGCTCTTCTCATAAAATTAATTTTGGTCAATATTTAGAGCTGAAGAAAAATTCTGGATTTTCATAAAAACATTATTGAAACATGGATTCAGAGGAAGAACTTTTAAATGTAGATTCATCGGTTCAGTGTTCTGTTCAGCTCAGCTCAGGTCTTACCTGCGACAGCGTCATGGCGTCTGCAGACACCGTCCCCGTCAGCTTCCTGTTTTTGGATTTGGGCGGTAAAGCCGGCGGCGGCGCTGATGGAGCCTCGTGCTGCTGCTGGATCCTCTGGTTCTGTCCGGAGTCGCCCTGATGGTCGGGTTTCTGGCTCCACATGGACCTCAGAGCCTGAACACTGACTCCAGAACTGCTCTTGGAGTTGACCACGTCGTAGAGCTCACCTGAGTCCACCTGAACACAACCAACTCCGTCACTGTCTCTGAAAGTTCACCTGGATTCAGCAGAATAACAGGTGAGACGCTGACAAGATGCATCAAAGCTGCCTTTAAATAAATGTTTTCAGCAGCTTTTATTCACATTTTTTGAACAATTTGCTGTTATTTTATAGATTTTCCTGTTTTGTTACATTAAACAGGAAAAAAGTTAGAATTCATTATTAATAATTCTAATTAACTATATTATTATTATTATTGTTATTATTATTATTATTATTACTCAGTGTTGAACATCCAGCAGAACAACAACACTGATCTCTGAGGATGAAGCTGCTTCAGTACAAACTGGTTGTTGAAGAGTCAAACACACACATGCAGCAACTAGAACCATCAGTTCTGGTGATGCAGAAAGTTGTCCTAATCAAAGCCTCCTAACTTCTCCTGAGTGGTTCTGATCGACTCC